TCATTTCAACAATATACAGTACAGTACACAGTGAAATGAAATAACGTTTCCCCAGGACCAAGGTGCTACATCGGACAACATAGATAAAAAGAAAAAGAGCAGCACACAGAACTAAATATAGCTCTAAATCTAAGAACTTAGAGAGTGTTGAGGAGTCTAATGGCTTGTGGAAAGAAACTGCTACACAATTTGTTTGTGTGGGGCTGAATGCTTCTGTACCTTTTTCCAGATGGCAGGAGAGTAAAGAGCGTGTATGAGGGATGTGTGTGGTCAGCCACAATGTTTCTGGCTTTACAAATGCAGCGTGTAGTGTATATATCCATGACAGAGGGAAGAACAACCCCAATGATCTTCTCTGCTGTCCTCACTATTCGCTGTAGGGTCTTGTGATCCGACACGGTGCAATTCCCAAACCAGGTAGTGATGCAGCTGCTCAGGGTGCTCTTGATGGTCCCCCTGTAGAAGGTTCTGAGGATGTGTGGTGGAAGCTGTGCCTTCCTCAGTTTCCTAAGAAAGTAAAGACGCTGCTGGGCCTTCCTTGTTATGGAACCGGTGTTGAGTGACTAGGTGAGATTCTCCACCAGGTGAACACCAAGGAATTTGGTGCTCTCTATGATCTCCACGGAGGAGCCATTGATCTTCAATGGGGAGCAGTTATGTTGTATCCTCCTGAAGTTAACAACCATCTCTTTTGTTTTGTCTACATTCAGAGACAGGTTGTTGGCGTTATACCAGTTCATTAGCTACTCCACCTCCTCTCTGTATGCTGTCTCATCGTTCTTGCTGATAAGAACCACCACGGTCATGCCATCAGTGAACTTTATGATGTGACTCGAACAGTGCTTTGCTAGACAGTTGTGCATCAGCAGAGTGAACAGCAGGGGACTGAGCATACAGCCCTGAGGGGCTCCAGTGCTCAGTATGATGGTGTTAGAAGTATTGTTCGTGATCCGGACTGTCTGAGGTCTTCCAGTCAAAAAGTCCAGGATCCAGTTACAGAGGGAGGTGTTCAGACCCAACAGGGTCAGCTTCCCCATCAGATGTTGGGGAATGATAGTGTTGAATGCTGAACTAAAGTCTATGAACAGCATTCATATGTATTGTTGTCTTTGTTTTCTAGATGAGTGAGGGCTAGATGGAGTGGAGATGCCGTCGTCGCTGGAGCAATTTGAGCTGTATGCAAACTGCAGTGGATCCAATGTTACAGGCAGCAGGGTCTTTATGTGCCTCATGGTGAGCCTCTCAAAGCACTTCATGATGATGGGAGTAAGTGCAACGGGACGGTAGTCATTGAGGTAGGACACTGATGGTTTCTTCGGCACGGGGACAATGGTTGTTGTCTTGAAACACTTTGGGACAACAGTGATACTCAGAGATGTTGAAGATGTCGGTGAAAACATTTGCCAGTTGGTCTGCACATCCTCTGAGCACTCTGCCAGGAATATTGTCTGGTTCTGCAGCTTTCTGTGGGTTGACTCTGCTTAGAGCTTTCGTCACATCAGTAGTGGAGAGACAAAGTACCTGGTCATTGGAAGGAGGTGTGGTCTTCCTCACTGTCATGTCGTTCAGTGCTTTGAAATGGGCATAGAAGCTGTTTAACACATCTGGAGTGAGCCATCACTCTCACAGGCAGGTGGTGATGTTCTGTAGTTAGTGATGTCTTGGATGCCCTACCACATAAACCATGTGTCACCGCTGTTCATGAAATATTGGTGGATGCTCTGGGCATGTACATGCTTTGCTTCTCTGATGGCCCAGGACAGATTAACTCTCACTGTTTTTAGGGCTGCTTTATCACCTGCCCTGAATGCAGAATCTCGGGTTTTCAGTAGAGCATGGACCTCTCCAGTTATCCATGGCTTCTGGTTGGGGTCTGAGATAATTTCCTTGCAGACTGTGACATCATCAATGCACTTGCTGATATAGCCGGTCACTGACGATGTGTACTCCTCCAAGTAAATGGTGTCACCATTGGTTGCAGACTCTCTGAACATGTCCCAGTCAGTGCATTCAAAGCAGTCCTGAAGAGCAGAGATGGCTTCTGCTGGCAAGGTCTCAAGAGTGGAATTCAGCTGGTTCCTGCTGGTTCGGGCAAACTGGATGTTAATTTTGCATCTGGTTTGCTGAACTGGTTGTTGCAAGGACTGGCTGGTCTCTCCCACCCTTCTCCTCCCCTCTCAGGAGTTTTAATATGGCCTGTTCATCATGGCAGGTAAGTGCAGGGCGGGAGGCTCTGGAAGGGTGAAAAATGGGCCTCTAGAGGGCCTCTGGAGCCCAGGGGAGGCCGTTTTTGCCTTCCTGGAGGCTTGGGAAAAGCCTCCAGACTTTGGGGAGGACAAAAAATGGATATACTGGAAGTACCAGAAGTCCAAAAATGGACCTGTTTCCGGCCTCCAAAGGGCCCCTGGAGCCAGGAGGAGGCCAATTTCGCCCTCCCAGAGGCTCGAGTAAAGCCTCTGGAGCCTGGGGAGAGCAAAACACGGGCCTACCAGAAATTCCAGAAGTCCAAAAATGGACCTGTTTCCGGCCTCCAAAGGGCCCCTGGAGCCAGGAGGAGGCCAATTTCGCCCTCCCAGAGGCTCGAGTAAAGCCTCTGGAGCCTGGGGAAACTGAAAACACCCACCAGCCACTATGGTGCAGGAGGCTGAATAGGCCACACCCACCATGACCACACCCACCAAGCAACCAGGCAGAGAACCGGTTGCTAACAATTTTCAATCCCACCCCTTCTGCCCACCTTTACACAGTTAAATTTCACTTGAGATATTTTTCAATTTCATTCTAGTTTTGGAGCTTGAGAAAAATGATCTTCTAGTCCAATTTTCTGCTCAGACAGGAAACTCTATACCATTTCAGATGAATGGTTGTCCAATCGCTCCTTAAAAATTTCCATTGTTATAACTTCTGGAGGCATTCCACTGATTAATTGTTCTAATTGTCAGGAAATTCCTCCTTATTTCTAGATTGTTTCTCTCATGTCACCTAAACAGACACTATTATTATCGGCATTGTATATAATGTTTGTGTTTCTATTTTCAAATATTAATATATTATAATTATATAGCTCTGCTTTTAATCTCTTTTACATCATATACATATTTATTTGTTGTCATTGTAACTTTCTATGTTCCATCAAGCACAGGTAAATATGAGATTCTGAATCAAAGGATCAAAACCTATTTGCACACTTTCAGAATTACAAGTGGGGAAGTTTAGACAGTTATGCTTGCTGAATTAGCCTAAAACTATAATTGACGTTATGTAGTCAAAGAGTAGTTACCTAATGAGAACTGTCTAATAATTAGCTATAATGAATTCCACTCATTATCTGTTAGCATGACCCCATAATAATAATATGCCTGTATTAAAAAAAATTGCTGGGTGACACAATAGAAATGCTAGAGGTCTACCAAATTTCATATCTGAAAGGAATATGGGGGATTTGGATCTATTGTTCCAAATGATATTATTGGTTATATAATCACTGCATTTGTTTAAGAATATTTAGGCTTCCACACAAGCATGACTTCATATGGCTGAAGCAAGTTTTGAATGACAAAAGGACAAGGATTTATCAGATAATGGGAAGTGGACTACATTATACTGAAATTAAATAAGTCCTCTAGCCATTTTTTTCCTCTTATTGCTTTTTCAAAAAAGTTACGAAATTGATTTCATCTTATCCATCTGAGAAGCAAGTTATAAAATTCTATGAGTTTAGCAAAGTAACATAGAGATAAGAGGAGATGGCAATGCTTTGAGTACACTGCAAGTTTCAGTTATAAACATGTTGCATTCACGGCAAATAT